TTGTTGTTGTTTTTGGTGGGAGGTGGGGGAGGTGAGGGCGGGGTGGCGGAGGCGGGGGGCAGTGGGGTGGCCCGAGAGCTGCAGGGCCAGATCACATGGGCGACGAGACCTGGTGAGGAAAGCATTTGGATGTCGTCCAAGTGCCACGGCAGCCTTGCCATGTGGAGATGCTCGGTGGGGCCTGGATCACACCTCAGTATCCATGCATGAGCCGTGGGGCCTGGCTGTTCCTCACGTTTTATCTGCCTGGAATGGGGACGACTGTCACAGGTTCTTCATCTGCCCAGAAGCGTGGGAGGGGGAGTGAGGGATACCTCGTGTGGAAGCCTGTGGACCAGCAGCGACAAAATGCACAGCCTCCTGAGCCACCCCTCCTTGCTACCGTAAGTTGGCCAGAACATGCGAAGCAGGGGTTTCCCTCGAGGGCCCAGAATCTACAGATTGATTGCCACCCTCCAAGTGCGTCCAGGGCCACTTTCACTGCCCAGCCTGTCTCCGCCATCACGGGCGACCATGGACGCCTAGTGTCGAGGTGGTCTTGGTGGCTGAGAAATACATGTCAGCTCCCTCATCAATTATCTGGTTTGCCAGGGGCTGGGGAAGCTAGTTGAGAGCTCTGATCCTTAAACAAAAACCTATAAATTAAATTTTTATTGACTTTAGTGTAAGATGTTTTAAAAATAATTAATGCTTTCACATCTTAAATCTTTTCCTCACTTCCCTGCTCCCCATGACCTGGATAAATACGGCCTTCCTCCTCCTCATGATGGAAAATTCCTTGTGGGGAGGGCTGGGACTTTCTGTCTGGGCAGGCACTTCCTGTTGTCCAAATTACAAGATTAAGTCGGCAACAGCCCTGACCCAGGTTAAGTGATTGAGAGCCTGTCTCGTCTCATTCCCCAAATGAAGTCTCATTTCTTGAGGCTGGGAGGAGCCTTCCCTCGGGCCTCTGCCAGGAGCATCTGTTTTTCAGCAGGCGTGACTGGGGGCTCACTCTTTCTCTCCTGGGAGGAGATAGGGTGGTGGTGAAACAGGAAACTCTGCTTTTCTGTGTCTGCCCCCAGTGTCCACATGGTCACTGGCCCACGGAAGTTGAATGTGGCTGAACACCTGGACATGAGCATCTTTGATGTGACCACGGGTATTAACAGAGCCTTAGACCGGGACTGTACGGAGAGGGCTCCCTCAGCCGCCAACACTTGTGCCACAGGGACAGCCTGTTGCTCTTGCCCCTTGGCCAGGATGGACAGCCAGTGGAAGCGTGTTTCTTCTGGACTCAGCTCCCTGTGCTCTGACGTCTTCTCCGGTCCCGCTGTCTGATGTGAAATCTGAGACTGGAGTCATGACCCACCAGGGTTCCGGAGAAGTGGGTTTTCAGGGGATGCTGAGCCCACTTCTGACCCGCACCACCATGGGAAGAGTCACCACGCAGGTCTCCCAGAAAGGGAAGGACCCAGATGTGCTTCGAGTCAGCCTCTGCCACCAGCAGCTGTGATGTCCACGGACCACATAACATGGGCCCCTCTCCATGCCGGGCCCCGGGGGGCACATGGCAGTGGGCAAGATGCACACAAAGGCAGGGGGGCCAGGCCGGCAAGCAGGCCACAGCCTGTGCGGTGAGCTCCTGGGTGCGGAGGGGACACGCAGGGGTCCTTTGGGGGGGATTTTTGAGAACTCTGGGCTTGCCTTTGAGACAGTGTGGCCAACTGCAGTTGTGTCAGCTCAGTAGTCCATTCTCAGCTGCTTAGTGTAGCCTGTGATGTGGGGGCGGGAGGAGGCGGCCGTGAGGAGAGGGCAGAAGTGTGCTGGGCTCCAAGGTTCCTGGGAGTGCGCAGTGCTGGGGGTGCTGAAAGAACAGCGCCGGCTCGGCTGCCCTCTGCACTGGCTGTGGGTCTCGCGGCCCTCAGTCCGGGTGAAAGTTGTCTCCCCAGGAAGGAGCTGGGTGTCATGTGCGTCTGAATTTTTCCACTCCTCTTCTCTGGATCCACCAGTGCAGTCTCGGCAAAGATGGCAAAGAGCCTGAAAGCTTTTCCCATCTATTTTTAAATAAATGGAATTCCTGTCGCTTGCATGAAATTCACCCCAACTGAACTTTTTCACCACCTGCTCCGTCTGGGTTGCGAGGGGTCGAGGGGGGGACTGGTGACCAGACTGCTGACAACGCAGAGTCCATGGTGTGCGTGACACAAAAGTGAAAACAAATGATCAATGAGCCAGCTCACCAAAAGGACATCCTGAACAAGGAAGCAAAGACTTTCAAACTTGACGCAGGATTTGCCTTCCAGAACCTCAGAGATGTGGCGAGGCTGCTGGTGCAAGCACCATTTGTAGACCACAGAACAGAGGGCTCCTGGACGCATAGGCCGCTGCATCCAGAGCAGGTCCCCCTTCCAGTCTGGCTGTCGGTGCCCCTGACGGAGAGGCCACTGGAGCACCACCACCTCCCCAGGAGACTATGAAGGCAGTCGTGGCTCCTAAGACCTCAGGGTGTGGCCTTCTCTTTTCTAAAAAAGACGAGCAGGTTTGTTTCTCCTCAGTGTCCTGGAATGCCAGAGAGCCCAAACCTTGCTCCATCTCAGTGCTCAAGCATCTGCAAAAATGACACCAGGGAATCACTTTTCCTTCATCCTCTGTGGACCAACCCTAACCATGGGCCCACTTGGCTCTCACATCACACCCTGAGAAGGGGCTCCTCCAGGAGCCAGCTCAGGTGTGCCCCGTAGTCTGGGGCTTCCCCTTAACGGGAGGAGGTGGCCTGGCCCTTCCAGAGTTTGTGTTTGAGTTGCAGTCCCTTTTTCCAGTCTTCTGAAGAGTGAGAATGGGGGCTACCCAGAGGCCAATGAGCAAAGCCAGCCAGATGCCACCACCTTGCCGAGCCAGCTCGTGAGGGGAGTGCAGGTCGTCCCTTCATTCCTTCTGCAGTCCAGGTCCCCCGGCTCCCCTTGAACTGACCAGGCTGGTACCTCCTTCCTCATCTGGGCTTGCAGGGGTGTGTGCGCTCAGAAAACCTGCAGCCACCCGATGCTGGTGAGCACAGCTGATGCCTGGGCATGGAGGCAGGGAGGTGGGCTCAGAAGTGCAGCCCTGGGACGTACCTGTGTGCACAGGTGTGTGTGTGGCATCAGCTGCAGTCCATCCCCAACATTCTAGATGACTCGCAAATCGGCACGGTGCCTGCGTCGACCATTATGTTTTCTGTCTAACTAAAATAAATAAACAAATAAATAAACAGGCCACATGGCCACAAGCTTTGGAAACCAAGGGTAGGGCAGCACAGCTGACCTGGCGCCGGAGGTCGTGCTGTGTTATGAGTTGAGTTACCAGGGAGGACAGTGCCAGCTACTGTACAGGGTGCTTCCCTTGGTGGACCCCACGGTGCCAGGCGACTGTGGGAAGAGCTGGACGTAGTCAGGAGAGGCACCTGCAGCCGGCACCATCCCTGCCGTGCAGAGGGAGGTTCCAGGGAGCCTGGGGAGGAGCTGAGAGTCCCGAGTGTGCAGGGGCCCCTTCGGCCTCCCAGCAGCAGGTTCCAGAGGGCTCCCCCCCAGGTCACCCATGACTCCCTGGCTAAGGGAGGCCACCTCTGCCCACTCCCTCCCAAGCGGACACCCTGCCCTCTGTGTCCAGAGGCTACCCTCCTTTGTCCTGAACTGTGGCACCAGCATTCCCATTGGCCTCGGGCCTCCGTCTTGCCCTAGGGCCCACCCAACAACCCCTGCCCTTGCCACAGGCCCCTTCTGGGCTCTGCAGAACAAAGTCCAGGCCCCTTGGGGGGGCTCCCAGGGGTGAGTCTCTCAGGCCTGGCCTCCCTGGCCATCCTTGCCCCTCTTTCTGCCTCTGCAACTCCCCCTTTCCCCTGTGGCCTCCCTTCCAGACTCCTTCTTCAACACCAGTGGGGGCTACGTCTTAGGAAGTCTCCCGGGATGCCTGCCTGCACAGCCAAGAAGCCCAGGTCTGGGGTCCTCACCCCTGGTCCACCTAGAGGCCAAGAGCATAAGGCCCCCGTGGGCTGCGCCACGTAATGGAGAGCCCCCAAGAGCTGTAACCTCTCCCCGCTTTGAGGTGTCCAGTCCCGGGGCCTAGCTGGTAAGAATCTAACCGGGGTCTGGCGCTGGCACCACTTTCGGTGCCCTGGGAGAGCTGGGGGCCGCTCAGGCGGTGCACTTGCTCGCTCCTGCCCACCTCAGAGGCGACCAGGAGACCAGGTGCCCTCGTCAGGGCATACGTGTCAGGCGGACCGGGAAGGGGTCTGCCTAGCCGAGCCAGGTCCTCGCCTCCTCTCGCTTCTTTCCCCTCCCCTCCCCTCCCCTCCTCCGCCGGCGCGGCGTCGCAGGAGTGAACGGGGGGCGGGGCGAGGCGGC